CACTGAGGTCGGCTCCTAGCCATATCAGCAAGTGTGTCCAACCAAACGTGTTCATTGTCTTTCGGACCACAAGCAGGGAGCCGAGACGCTCCAACCGAGGCCAGCTCAGAAGTGAGGGCCTTGAGGACAGCGTTGGTCGAAGGTAACAAATCAGTTTGTCTGTCGACTTGGTAGGCCAGGTATCGCAATTGTACGGACCGCAGCACTGTAAAATCTGTCCTTCAGAGCGAGAATGATGTCGCGACAGTGCTATAGGTGGCGGAGAATGGCAAGAGCGTCTCCAGTTTTTGCCATATGCTTCATGACCTTATATAATATTAAACAGGCGATAATATAGTTTCCTAGATACTTGGATTTCTGAACGACTACTAGCTGATCACCACCAAGGGTTAACGTAGGGAGATTCCTGTCAATCTTGAAGAAGGAATGCATTTCGACGGTGCAAAGCATAGCCTGAAACGACTGACAACCAGTGCTAATCTATCCAGTGTTGCTTGGTACGGTTCGGAGCTATCACAGATAAGGGTAATGTCGTCAGCGTAATCCAAGTCAAGAGTTCGCTCACCAGGAAGCAGCTCCACACCTTCTAGGTCGTATCCAGTGAACGCCGTTTCCATGAATTCATCAATGGGTAAGTTAAATAGGTAAGGTAGCAGCAGGCAACCTTGTCTCACACTGCTAGAGATATTAAAGGACGGCGACAATTTGCCATAAAGCCTCACTCTGCCCAAACTATACGCATACAGCGCTCTGATAATGTTCATATATTTACCGGGTACACCTATCCTGAGAAAATAGTCCTAAAGGCATATCAACCCACCTAATCGAAGATAGATTTGATGTTGAAAAACAGGACTACAGTGGGTCACCGATAAACGTGGCGCTGTCCCAACAACTGAAGTAAAGATGTGGTCGATGCAGCTTCGGTTTCGACGAAAGCCGGCTTGAGCTTCGCGAATCTGACTTCCACGGGTGTCAGCCAATCTGTGGAGAACGACAGATGCAATTAATTTAGAGACAAATGAGATCAGACGAATTTCTCTATGGTGGCCACAATCAGCATGTAAGCCTCCTTTGAAAATTGGGACTATAACGGAGCGACCCCAGTCTGCTGGGTCAATCTCCTGCTCCCACAGCCTCCTTAATAGGTTGCGCAAATTGTCCATGAGGTATGTCCCCCCAAGTTAAGAGGGCTGGAGGAAGTTGACCTGCTCCTGCGGTCCTGTTACATGTTAACAGTTGAATCTCACGTTCGACTTCTGAGTGTGATAGCGGGTAAAAGGGGACGGCCCAGAGAAGAGAGCAATCAGTGCCGAAAAAGGAAGATCATAACAGGTCAATTAAACTGCATTTCAAAGTGTTCGGCCCAACAATCCAAGCGTTTTAACTAGTTGTGAATTGGTTGTGCATTCTCGTCGCGTATTATCTCGCTAACACCACTTCCCTGCCAGTTTCCCGTATCAGGCAATAACTTCCGATGGTTACCAATAGCAGCAGCTGTTTTCATTTTCGACGCACGACGAGACCACCAAGCTTGGAGATATTACTTCAGGCTAGCACGATTTTGCCCTAAGATCTTTGCGAGTCTCGTGTTCACTTCCAGCCGAAACACGTCGGCGAGCATCCAATAGTTGCTGAGGTTGCGTAGGGACTCAATGTCCAGGTTGGTAATTTGAGATGTCACATGAAGATATGCCCGCTGATAATAACGTTTGGCGGATGTGTGACCAACGAACTTCAACTGTAGTTAGTGGGCGCTTACTCAGCCTGGATTCCAGCGTAGCTTAATGCGCATTCAGAACACCTGGCTTCACCAGTGGGCTGGTGTGTGTGCGCTTACAGCGACGTTGCGGACGTCCGCAGAAACGCACCCGCAGATCAGCACACACAAGAGCGTGATTGGAGTCCACGCTCATACTCCAAATCGGACGACAATTTTGGACACAGCCTCTCCAGTGTGAACTGATCGCGATGTGTTCGATCTGTGTCCATAACTGGTCCGAGGTTGGTGGGCGGCATGTCACTCTTTTGGGAGTGCTGTATCGGAAGTAAGTGCTTGCGAGAAACAGACGAGCTACTTCACACACGTGTAGCAACAGCATACCGTTATCATTACTGGGGCTTACACCGTGTTGCCGCCCAGATGCAGTTCATCAGATTACCAGTTCAGATTACCAGTCAGCACCACGATATTTGTACTTTTGCTGTAAACGAGGAGCTCGTTCAGTTGATGATAAAAGTCAGTTTCCACCGAGTCAGCGTTACAGTTTGTGGACATGTACGTAGCAGTGACAAACAGGCACCGTTTGTACACGCGCGAATTCGAGCCTTTGAAAGAGCCGGCCAATCTGACAGCGCAGATCCGGCTGTTAACAGAGCTCCAATCGATCAGGGCAACTTCAGACCAGAAGCTAAAAACAATACCCACTTCGGAATTTGAAGCTGCGTCATCTCCGGTGAAAAGCAACGAGAAAGTGCCGCCACTGTCGCATGTGGGGGATCGCAGAGTAAGCACAAAGCTCGAATCTTGCAGGCAAGTTGGCTACCTGTTAGCCAATCTGTAACAAAGTTTGCACAGTGAGGCATCCCAGTCTTAGCAAGAATCAAAGGCTCCAAAGCGAAACGGATGAAGTGACGTTGTCCGCTTGGTTGAATATGGACTTGTCGACTGGACCGGAGCAAGGCCCTGGGATTGCGTTTGAGTGAGAACTAGAAGAAAAACGCGTATTGAAGATACGGGATAGGCAAGAATTGAGGGGATGAAAACGGGGGGAGATGAAGTGAAGTTGAAGCAGGACGACAAGGATGAAAAAGTGCAAGATGGGAAATAAGAAGATAGGAAGGGTTGAGCAGTAGCATTCTTACCCCTATCCACCCTGCTCGATGCGGAAGATAGGGCGCTGCTGACTATCCTCTTGGAAGGCCAGAGCAACAAGAAAGTGGTTGAAGAATGATTCATCTATACAATGAATCTGCTGCTGATAGGCGTCCGATGGATGGTGCGGGAGGATAGCTGCAAATTGCAGAACTGAAGTTGCATTGCGGTTGCTGTCAATTAGACTGGGAATTATAGAAGGTTAGTAATGGGGGTTTGGAGGGCATAAAGAGAAACAGGTGGAAAAGAAGGAAGGGGCCAGCAGTAGCATGTTTTCGCCTATCCACACTGTTGCATGTAGCAGATAAGCTGACCCTTGAAAAGCTGCGCGACGACCGATGCACGATGCGGTTAAATTTTGAGGAGTCATGGTAGTACGTGGGCTGAGATACTGTCAGGGCTCCCAGACCTAAACAACAGAATGAGTAGAGTTCTTAACAAAAGCCGTCGGCTCAAAAAGTTGTCTACAATGCAGCATGTTTGCAAGTGGAGGCCAATCCAGTTCCAGCCCACAAGCTGGAGGACCAGGAGACTGAATTTGTCTGGCCTCTAACAACTGACCAATCTGGTAGGAGTGAATCTCAAAGGGCCTGGGAGCACCACCCAGTATAGCTCAATGGGTCGAAGAGGTATGCAAACCGTCGCACCACGTTAAGTTTCAATCGCGTTGCGACAATTGGACCACGTGTGCACTAGCAAAACGTGGGTGATTCCTCATTTAGGTGCTTTTGGTGACAATAGATTTATTCCAAGCAAAAAGCAAGTAGTGCTGACAAGTTCCAATTGTTTAGGTCTAGCAAGGCTCGCCGAGACTCCGAGTACCTGACAGAACGGTCTGCTGATAAGCACAGTAATGTACAGCTCTAAGTACATACATACGCAGGACCGGTATAAGGGATATACCAAAAATGTATAGGCGTCCAATTGGGCCAGTTTCAGAATGCTCAACGGTCTAACCCACTTTCTTCAGTTATCCGATAAAGGTAACAGCCATCAGCAATAAGGCTGAGAACACAACCACATATTGTGATCTGCGTTCTGCTTATCAGCTTCGTAGACTTCTCTGTCACTATATCGTGCAGCCCTCCGAGTCACAAAAGTGTTTGAACAGTGATCAGAGGGCTGTTATTAATGAAAAGCATCACTTACACTGTGAAGGGATTTGAATCACCGTGCAGAGATTGCTCATCGTTATTGATACGCTTTCTTTCTCCACCACGAGACCCGAGCCAATTGATTGTGACTATACGCTGCTCGCACGGCGTAGGAACCGTAACCCTGTAGAACACGTTTAGATACTAGATCAAGTTACCTTTTACCCCCTCATTTTCTACGGGTATGACAACCTTTAATGTATCCGAAAATAGCATCTGATCGTCAGTACAGAGCAGATGCACTGCTGAAGTTAATGGTGATGATGTAGGCACAAAAGTAAAACAGCATCTAAAGTTTCTCGCACCAGATACAGTTGTTGACCATTATCATTGTTGAAGCGCGGTTGCTGAATGGCGAAGTACACAGATATTACAAGCGCTATCGAAGATAAGTACATGACACATTAAATGTTCCCTTGACCGGAAGTACACTTGCTCAAGAGTGGAGAAAAAATGACACATAAACCTACGTTCAGTGGAGACCACTGCGAGTGCGTAACCACCCACATTACTGAAAATGATTCCGAGAACTAGCCACCCAGGGTAAGAATGTTCGCAACATACAACACTATATAAAGCGAGCTTTGATGGCTTTTAAGCTGCCCTAGCTAAATAAGAATGGAGAAACTCGCCTTCGGCTGGCAGATAAGATCAGTTAATAGCGTACAGTAGGTTAAAACAACTAAGTGGTCGAATGAGATCTGATGTCCATATTCAGAAAACTGGTATTCATTGGTGGTTTTCATTGATGCGTCACCCCTTCCCTGTCAATAAACTCAAGGGGACAGGCTGTTGCTGCTTAGCTAGTAGAGGTGTTACTGCCCAATTTTTCGACAAGGAGCAGCAGCTTAAACTCACCCATCAGACAGGTTCCCTGGATATAATGCCTAATCTAAGGCAAGGATGGCCAGCCGAAGCTGACGTAGCATAGTAGCAAGAACAAAGATAGGAACAGATAGTAGATGGCTAACCTCGATTCCCAAAGCAATGTGGACAGTAATTCCATGAGAAGCCGGCTTCCAGTAAGTGGATCGTATGTAAAAGGCATCCACGATTCCGAGAATAAAAATCAGAGCTGAAGGTAATTATCATAAAAGGAACTTACTCAAAATCCTCACGTGAAACAACGCGTTTAAAACTGGTGTGCGTTCCATCTAGCATATGCATGATGTAGAATATCTCAAATTACATAGCCAACGCGTTCTTCAATAAGCCAGTGAAAAGCTCGGACAAATAGTAAAATAGAGAAAAGGAACAGAAATTCCGTCCCCAGTTCATCTTGGAAGAAAGCGAAAACCAGGCACATGTCGAAAAAAGCATACCAAGACTGCGAAACGAGATTCTATGGGAAATAAAGTGAGGTTCAACGGCTTACATCTACTTCAGCTTGCTGCAAGCGACCAAAAAACAAGCGAGTGGTCAACTTAGCGAACATGAAAAGGAGAACGGCACACTGAAACAGAAGAATCTTTTGAATAAAGAAATGAAAGAGTTGACTTACGACGACACACGGCTGGTTATTGGTCAAAAAGACAAGAGTGGGATAAAACTGTTTTTTTCTGCTGTAAGCACTCCAACAAACGAAGGCGGTAAGCAAGAAGCTTGACAGCATCACCATTGAGGACCTCATTAGTCGAAGCCACCGGGTCACAAGAACAGTTGGAGCGAGTCTGAAACACAACCGATAAAAGGCACATGAGTTCGTTGAACATGCACGTCATTGAAAACCATGCGCCACACCATTGGAAAATAGACACTGCATATTCCTACAAATTCATATGGAGTAAATCGATGGTAACGCTTACATCGCAGTTTGGTCACATGAGGAAAGCGGTAGAGAGAATACCCTCGCACCGACCACCATAGACAGTTCAATACAATAGGTAAATTGGCATCCAAACTCTCCAGCGAGATGGACTCGCTTACCTACATCCGCTTCGTCGTGATAACAACAATGGTCAAAGATACGGTTAATGAGAAAGGAGAGAGAAAAAGAACAGTGAACCATAACAGAAAGAAAGAAGGGTTAGGAGTGCCGGATCAATGATTGATGATGAGGAGTGGGAATGAATGGAAGATTTTCAAGGAAATGCTGCAGCTGATCGTAGAACACTGAACATCAATGCGAATAAATAATGCAACCAAGTTTTCTATACTATTCATCATACTACCAATTGGCAAGAGGGAGAATTCACCCAATTGTGTTTAATATCGGCAAACAGGCACAACGAAATAGATGGTCAGCAGACGTGCAAGTGCAGCACCAGAAAGGCTGAACAAATATCAAGAATCGAATCTCAGTAGTATCCGTCCAGCGGCTACTGTGAATAACAGCGATGTTTCGCAGATATGACTGGTCAAAAACAACCAGTCTCCCGTTACTTTAAATGCGCAATAGTCAGCTGTTTGATCAGCACATAAACATTGGCCTAACTGCAGAATCGTGCACCTTGCTTCGGATTAATACTACGCAGCTTCAATAAGCAGTGAAGGCCCTGAGAATTCGTGTGAGTCCTGGCGATTCAAGAAGTATGCTATTTATTGAGTCAAGCACCATAAGTGACAGACAGCTAGTTAAGTGAATCGCCGGACCATGTAGATTTACCATCCAGTGATCTTGAGAACCGCCGGCGTGTTAGTTCTTTATTGTACCAGAGTAGAGCAATAAGTTTCTGGATGCGCAAAAGGTTTTATTGGCTTACCACGAAATAAGCATTGTATTTTCTCGGAGCACTCTTCACCAGCGTCCATGCACAGTTCCATGCGCTCAAACCATTTGGAGGAGCAATCAGACAATGCCGCAGCGAGTAGCCCTTCAAGCAACTTAATGAACGCATCTACTGCAGCTTCTGGAGACTCGTAGCGGATTCCACACGTCATGCGCTTGACATAGGTGAAGAAAAAATAGCCACATGGAGCCAGGTATGGACTGTAAGGCGGGTGACCAACCTCCTGGATGCGTTCACAAGCAAGAAAATCTACGACGATATGGAACTTGTGTGCAGGTGGTGTTATTTACCATGGTGCAGCAAGGTCCCTAGTGCTCGAGTCCTTGGACGATGCCTGGATACAGCTTCCAGCACTTGTGGCAGACATTGGGTGACATACCAGTCCCCGATGACCGTGTGTTGCCGTACGAGCGGTACAGTAGCCACATGACCGGTCTTGGCTAGGAACACAGCTATCATCTGCTTGGCCACACTGCGCTCACACCGGAATTTCTGAGGCCGCGTCCCACCAACGGCAGTCCACTGAGCCGTTTGTTGTTTGGTCTCTGGGTCGAAACCGTACACCCAGGTTTCATCACCACAAAAAACCTCCCAGACAGTATTGGAACGTTCACCATCAAACGTGGCAAGCACGGTGTGGCAGCAATTCATCCGAGATGCTTTCTGGTCCTTACTGAGCTGATGGGGTACTCATGGCGCGCCAACCTCTGAGGACGAGGTCCTCATGTGGGATGGTGCGGATTGATGCCGATGAGATCCCGATGGCTTTCTCCAGCTGCACCACCGTCATCCGCGCGTCCTACTCCAACATGGCTTGCACAGCAGCAAAGTTGCCCTCGGTGGTGGCCTCCACAGGTCGACCACAACGTGCCTCATCATCCAGGGAGCTCCTACCACGCTTGAATTCCACAAACCACACAAACGCGGTGATTCTTGAAGGCGAATCATCACCTAATGCAGCATACAGTCGCTTCACACTCTGGTGCTGCTTCAACCATATTTGTAGTCATAGAAAATCATCGCCATCTAGTGACATCGACTGACTTTCATACCTACAGTTAGAGTATAGCGACTCTTATGACTTGTGAGCTGTGTTGGGCTGCTGATGTAGGGTTCTGCTAGTGGAAATCACTAAACAAAGTTTAGAATGGATAACATTTCACGCTTTTCTTACCACGTCATCTACACCTAATCTGTGTGTCTGGAAAGTTATTGCTCCGCCCTAGTAGCATTACCATGCACGAAAGATACATAAGCGTGCAGTACATGCAGAATGGCGAGAAGGAAGCATATAAAGTCAGCGCACTCAATTTTTATCGGTTGGTGGCCGAGCGGTCTGCGCATTTGGTTTGCAACCATAACGTCGCCGGTTCGAATCCGCGTACGGATGAGCATCCACAAAGTATACTCAGTCCAGCCGCGACAGTATAACGAAGCTACGGCGTACAGCTGGCGACTTATTGACTCATGACGGACACTCCCGAGCATGAGGCCGTGCGTATGCATGACGCTGTTTTCAACACCCTATGTCAAAGTGAAGGCCGAACTGACCTGCAGCGAGTACATTTTGGTTGTTCCGTCTTGAACACGTTGATAATACACGATAGTCTAGTGGTAGGATTGGCTATTTACAGAAGTTAATCAGTTAACTCAGCACGCAGAGATCGCGTCATTGTCAACCAAGCAAAACACACGTGTACCGCACTGGTAGTCCCTCTGTGCTGACTATATACCATAACAAAAACAATAACTAGTTAAAAGGTAAAAGCAAAATACGAGAAACTTAGCAACGAGTAGGCCAGCAGGAAAGAAACCGGAGGACAATACGAGAAACGAAAAAAGGAAAGGCAAGATCCGGAGCTGAAAGTGTTTAAACGATGTTTAAACTGTCAAGGTAGGTGAAAATACACCGCTCTCTGGTAGCGTGTTCCAAGGGTCGATTATTCTGTGACAAAGTGTCAGTTCGAACCCGATCAGAGTGGAGTTTGTGCAACTTCATCAGATGCCCACGCAGAGTTGGTAACTTAGTGTGATGAAAGGGCCAGGATGGCTCTGGCCGATCCGTCCAGTCAAAATGTGATAGATTAGAACCGAATCGCCACGAAGACGCCGACAGTGTAAAGAGAACACTCCTAAGTTGAGTAACTTGTCAGATTACACAGATACCACAACCTACTGACTATTTTAGTCCTGAACCTCAAAAACCTGCTCTGTCGCTATCGTGTCCCGAGTTAGGTAGGGAGAAATTTGAACACAGTACTCCAAGTGCGGTCTAACGAAGGTTGTAAATCATCTGGCAAACATTTCTACCGTCATGACCTCAAATGACCTGCGGACCATTCAGATGTTTCATAAACTCTTGTAGGTTGTCTGTTTCAGTCTTCAATGGAACTGAAGTCTGACGATAATGTGACATCCAAATCAACCTGCAGGGATACACATAAGGCATTTCGTCCCCGTCATCCATGTAGCGTGTCATCGGACTATTAAACCCTGTGCGCAGCACTAAACAGGCCGCGTAATATATCGGCATCTACCACAAAATGGACCAATCTAGAAGTCTGTCAAGAGCATGATGCGAGCATGAGAGCAAACATGAGGGTAGTACAGTTACCTACACGGGAACAACAATACCCCAAGGAGCAATCACTCAGAACAGACTACCGAAAAGAAAGACCGGATCTTACTCTGATACACATCCCTTGCCCGTTGAAAAATGCTAATCGCTATCGAAGGGTGTGTCCAGAGACGCGGCAAAAACGCAGCGTAAGAAAAAAGACGAGAATGTGGAACGGCGTCAAAGGCTCTAAAGAAGCCAATGTACATCACGTTCATTCCTTGTCTCTGGCCGACAACCACTGTCAAGCTCCCACCAGCAACCAGTAAGTTGGTCAAGCACGAATAACATGCGGAAATTGTGCTGGAGTGGGCTGAGAAAATCAAACGCCCTGAAATATTAGATAAACATTGTTCTAGTTCAAGTTAAACCGGAACAATGGGATAATCCCGTAAACATTCCCACTTTTATGTATCGTCGGACCAGGAATTGATAGGGATACCTGAGTTTTGATAAGCCTAAAACAAAAACCGCATCGTACCCTAGCCAAAAAAATTAATATCCACATATCCTGCCCAGTGGTCTCTGCTAAGAAGGTTGCGTGAACTAAGAAAGGAATATCAAATAATTAATGATGTTATCAAGTCATGAAACTAAAAAAGAGCAAGTGATAGCCGAAAATACAAGTCCGTTAGGAGAAAGAGAATGTTTGGTAATGCCACCTAAAAGGATCTGACGCTCGAAACCCTCACCCGCAGATTTTCTGAAGACGTGCACCGGAATCGAGTTCCAGCATTCAATAACGGCGCGACAAAGGAGTTTCCGTCATAACCCAGTCAGAACGCGATTTGTGCAACTTAAATGGATGACCGCAACTTAATGGGACTAAATAACCGGGGCAAGTTTGGATTGCTAAAACAGGTTAAAACACGTTAAGTCGGGATCAAGTACCCTCTAATGGTCCAACAGTGAATTGAGTATATTCCCAAAGTAAGCAAACGCTCGAGACACGTTTGTCTCTTAGAAACCCTGCAATAACCTAGTACCTAATCACAAAACTCTCCGGTTCCATTTTGTCGAGTACAGCACATGGCGGACTAGTCTGGAGAGTGTTAAAAGTGAAGAAGCAAAAAAGCCGAGAATAGCTTCACAAACATATCAGCCATTAAGAATCCGAAGAAGGGAAGAAACTACATCACATGGAAACCTCTACAAACAGACTTCTTTCAACTGTCGTCAATGTGAGAGGCCGAAGTGTGGAGTGACAAGAGAGGTTTCACTTCCGCCAACGACATGTAGTGGGGGGACTGTCAGCTTCGATACGGAGGACAGAACACTGCCTGATATATGTCATCAGCCACAAGGTTGACCAATCCCAGAGCCT